TTAATTAAACCTGATCAGGCCGAACATGGTGTGGCCTCCCCGGCCATTGATGGCGAGCAGCAGCACAATTCTTTCTCTACCTACCCCACAATTAATTATTGGTTTTATCCTTTTATTTTTCCTCCTTTGCTGCTGCGCTTTTTTTCTAGTTGACCTTTTCTTTTTCCAGTCGGCCACTAGCTAAGCGCTGCCCAAACTGGACATGTGCGTCCGGTTTGACCGACCCGTACAAAGTCTTCCTCTCCCTGTTCATACTTCCTTTCTTCTGTCCTCCCTTTTTGCGAGTAGCTGTGCCGGTTCATACTTGCTCAGTTGCACTTTCAATAGTTTAACCTGTTTTTTCTATTGGTCCACTAGTGCGATGGTTTCATTAACAAAAGTTCTTTTTTGGGTGCTGTCAAAGGTCTGATCACCATGTTCTATACTGACAGGCAAGATTAAGGCTGAGTTCTCTCCTTAACTTCTCCAGCTTATGTTCCACGTGCACGTTTTTTAAACTGCTAAACTGTACGTTTCTGTGAGAAGTTTCTATACGAAAATTGCTTAAAAATTCACATTTCCATTTTTTTTAAAAAAATAGGTAATACTTAATTAATAACGTGCTAATGAACCACTTCGTTTTACGTGTGCTGAAAATGTGTTCCCAACACACAGCAACGAACACAGCCTAAGTTGTGTTCTGATGTTCTAAAGGCTAATGAATTATGGATGAAACAAGAGTTTATAACAAATATTGATTCAGGGGCACAGACGAAATAGTTGAATATTAGAAACCTGAAAATAGGAATGAAAATGGAGTGAGTTAAAATGGATAAATTGTTTCCATATCTTACACCGTATTTTTTTCGATCTAGGCCTTGTTTGGATTCCAACTTTTTTCTTCAAACTTCCAACTTTTTCGTCACATCGAACTTTTCTACACACAAACTTTCAACTTTTTCTTCACATTATTCCAATTTCTTCAAACTTTCAATTTTAGCGTGGAACTAAACACATCCCTAGGTTTGGTGCGGATGCAAATACCAAAAATGGTATGGAGTTAGAAGGAGCTCAGCTTAGGAATGGATTCAAGTTATTAGATGATACATGAATATGCATACAACACAACAAAGGTAACAAGCAAAAATTTATCATTAAGCCACGAAGCCAATTAGGCTCCCAAACTAGCGAGAAAGTCTCTAAGCCCTTGTTTAGTTCTAAACTTTTTCTCAAACTTTGAACTTTTCTATTACATCAAAACTTCCCTACACACATAAATTTCTAACTTTTCCGTCACATCGTTCTAATTTTAACCAAACTTTCAATTTTGGCGTGAACTATACACACCCTAACTTAAAAAAAAAACATATATATATGAGCCATTTTGAACGGCTGATGATGTTGTATGATCTAATCCATGTAGTGTGGTGATATAACTTAAAAACAATTCACATGTACTGGATTTTATGAATATCATATCCTAATTCATATTGGATTTTTTTTTCAAAAAAAGCTTACCATATCTTCAATACGATATATCGTACTCGTATATAAAGCCGATCAGACCGAAAAGTATCCTATCTGTTTTCGCTCATAATTAAGAGAGTTGATTTTGAAAATTTTCTAACAATATTGACTAAGAAAGTTTTTTTTTTCAAAACGCGTGTAATTTAAGAGCTTCATATATAAGCATATGCCTGGATGATCTATACCAGGAAAGGAACACACACTAGGGGTATTATGCCCAATTCCAAAGGGGTATTATGCCAAATTCCAAAGTTTGGTTGAAATTGGAACAATATGATGGAAAAGTTGAAAGTTTGTGTGTGTAGGAAAGTTTTGATGTGATGAACAAGTTGGAAGTTTGAAGAAGAAGTTTGGAACTAAACTCGGCCTTAGTTCGATAGTGTTAACAACCAAATTTGGTAATTTCAGTATCGGAGATAGATATAAAGTCGAAGCGGAATCCAAGATGGAGATCGTTCCACAAATAGAGCAAGAATCGACTAAAGTCCGAATCGGTTGCGACCAGAATCAGCAGAGTCCAAATTGGACAAGGTTAGCCGATTGAGCCGAATCCGACAATATGACACGGCATACGTTGTCGGATTGAGTTAATGTGCTTCATGAGGATTGCCACGCATGGATATAGTCTTGAGAAGGCAATTGTATATATTAATTAGGATTTTTCATGTAATTTCCTTAGAGATATGTTTGGGCAAAAGTCTGCCGCAAAGACTTATGGTATTCTAGAGTTTGTTAGAAATAAGAGTCATGTCCGACACGGACATATTTTGTAAATTTCGGGTATAAATAGATCCCGAGCCCCATGTAATCAATCTAACACACGTTCAATACAATCTCGGCGCATCGCCACCCTTTTACTTTTGTTTTGTTTCGACGAGTTCTTGCTTTCGATCTTCAACTAGAGGTAAAACTTGTTATGGCGGCTTGCGTTCTCGGGATTAGTGCTTCCATCGTTATGATACTCTAATATTGTTTATGTAATTCGTCGAGTTATCATATATTTTATATAATCTTCGACAATATTGTTATTTAACCCTCAATCGGCTAACACCTAATGTGAGAAGGCAGCCAATTAGGTTAATTACCAACGTTGACTTAGATTATATAGGGTATCCACCACTCTATAAAACTTCCAACGGCTTGATTGTCTAGATATTATTGTTCTTTTTATACTTATAGCTGCATCAGTTAAGTTTGACCTTATAAGTCGTGATTAGAATCTTAATCTCTAGCCTGTCTTTGGTTGCCGACTAAGGTAGTATCGGGGTTTCAGCCGATCTTACCTGATTTAACTACTTTTATCTTATATGCTTGATTGACATGTTAAATCCGCCCTTTATGTTAAGATCTTGCTGTATTTAAGTATATTAGACTTTTATTTGATATATTTTACTTGCTTTGATATCTTAATATAGAGTGGTATCGGAGTATTAGCCGATACATACTAGATCTATCTGATCGGCTATACTATGAATATATATAGTCTTGTTGTTAATATATATTTCGATCCAAGTAATTTATACTGTCTCGGTATGGCGACCGATCTATCCCAATCACTTGATTTAAGTATATATCGACATAAGTATTATATATTGTTAATATCTATAGCCGATCAAGTAGATTTAGTTCTTTCTTATTTATTCATGATCGCCGATCGACCTACATATGACATCGGCTCAAAGATAAATGATATGTCATCGGCAACTAGCCGATCGGATATTGTTTATGGATTTAACCGCGGTTTCTTTGTCTTTGTTTCTTGTTGATTGCAGGATCAAATCAACTGGCACGCTCACGAATCTGAAGGCAAACTTTTTGGACCTACACTGAAGTTAAGCTGATATCCCAGGCCTCGTGTTTTCGCAGATAGATATGGTTGGCACTCGTAGAAGTAAGTACCAGTATGGTGCTTGATTTTAATTCGGCAAGAGCAGTGTCATGAATTCGTTTCATCATAAAAAAAATGTGTCTCTACGATAATTTAGCAGCACCTTTGGCTGGTTGGGTTGGTCTATCCGATAATTCTATTGTACCAAGAGTGTCAAACGAAAGAATATTTGGGATTGAGTCTATATCAAACATGTTGAACTCTAAAAAAACATCTGAACTCATTGACTAGACGCATGCACGCACACATATATATGCTGATTGGTCAGCAATGATCCTTTCCCCGTGCACTTTGCAAACCACTAATGTGCAGGTCAGGGTGTGTTAATTTCACGTTAAAATTAAAAGTTTTGTTGAAATTGAAACGATATGATGAAAAAATTAAAAGATTGTGTGTGTAGGAAAGTTTTGATGTGATGGAAAAGTTGGAAGTTTGAAAAGAAGTTTGGATTATTTTCTTTTGCCAGAGACCTTGATTAGAAACAGACAGTTACCCATTTTTTAATACTAATTTATACCTAAAAAACAAATTGATTGACGCAAGTATAGTACTACTAGTTCATGGGTAGTTTTGCTGTGTACACCGGCACCGCCTCGGCAGATAGCTGTGCAGCAGATAGAGCGGAACATCTACAGCACGGCAAGCAACGTGGCCTTTCTCCGCCTCTCCCGAAACGTCAGCGCCAACGGACGGCACGAGGCATGTCGGCTGAGCCCCAAGAAAAGTGCTCGACGCGCCGCCGTGGTTTCTCCTTGTTGTTACCGTGATGCCGTTGTCTACCACGACACCTCATAGCCCCCCATCCCTTGGCCTAATAAATCAAAGTAAAAACTGAAATTCTTTCAACGTTTACTTTTAAACTGCTACACACAAATATAAAAATTTTACGTATAAATTAAATTTTATTCACTAATAACACATTTTGTCTCATTAGAAAATACGGGTATGCCCTCGTCCATTCTCGCGTCGCGTCCCCGACCGTCAAAGAAGCAGTAAAAACGTTTTTTTCCTACGCTGCCACGCCGACATGGGCATGGGCGATTTGTCGCCGGTTTGACCGCGCGTCGCATCCCGTCATCCCCGTGCGTCGCGTCCCCACCACCACCCCCCCGCGGCGCGAGGATGATATGCTGCTGTGCGGCGCGCGCGCGCGGTGGCCTCCCCTCGCCGCTCCCCCTGACCGCTAGCCACGCCACGCCACGCCACGCCACGTCCGTCCGCCCCCCCCCCCCCCCCCCCCCGGTCCACGCGGTGTCGTGCCAGGCCAGCCTATCCAGACCACCACCGCTATCCCCCACCTGCGCGACCGAAACCGCGTCACCCCCAACCCCAGGGCACGCATCTCCACGCCCCCACCCACCCCAACACAACACACGCGGTCACCTTCCCCGCCGTTTCCTGCACCACACACACAAACGCCGCGCGCACACGCACGCACAGAGAGAGAGAGAGAGCAGGTCTCCCCTTCCTTCCCCCCCCCCCCCTTCCTTGTCCCGAAAGCAACCCCGCGTCATCACCCCCACCGCGTTCCCACCTCGCCGTCATCCTCCCCCTCCCCGTCAACATCACCGGATCACGCCGTATTTATATATGCCTCCCCCCCATTTCACACCAGTCTCCTCCGATCCTCTCATCCACCACCACCATCGCAAGAGAGACGCTCGCCTTCCGTCTCCTGACGCGCACACGCCACCAACACCGCGACGCGACGCGACGCGAGCGCCAAACGTGAGCGCGGAAAGAGGAGAGGTGAGGTGAGGTGCGTGGCCCTTGGACTTTCGAGGCGAAACCCCGCGTGCGTGCGTATATGAGATCCACATCCGGCGCCCGCCCCAGCAGCGGTGGAGGAGGAGGGGACGACGACTACGCCTTCTACTACTCTTTCTTCCAGGACGCCGCCGCCGCCGCCGCGTCGCCGCTCGGCCTCGACGACGCCGCCGCTATGACCAACGGTGGACGGAAGCGGAAGAGGGGAGGAGGAGGGGATGGGGCGGACGGCGGCGCCCCCGCCGCGTCCAGGAAGGATGGGCCTGGAGGGGACGGTGAGGGGGGAAACGGCAGGAAGCGGTCCATCGCCAAGATACTCACCTCGCTCGCCGCGCTCGAGGCGGAGGAGCACTCCGACCGCGCCGGCGCCGCCGACGCCTCCCGCCGGGAGCTCGCGCTGCTCGAGTCCAACGCCGACCACAAGTCGCAGGCCATGATGGACTACTACGCCAAGATGGAGGGGAGCTTCGACGCCGCCGCGGAGTCGGACGCCACCGCGCGGTCCAAGCGCTCGCGCCTCGCCGCGTCGGCCACCACGGCGGCGGTCGTGGCTACCGAGGAGGGGGCCGCCGAGACGGCCTCCGCGTCGGCGTCGCCGTCGCGAGCGAGCGGCGGCGGGGGCGCGGGGCACCACCAGCGGCGGCTGTGGGTGAAGGACCGGTCGCGGGCGTGGTGGGACAAATGCAACAGCCCGGACTACCCGGAGGAGGAGTTCCGTCGCGCGTTCCGGATGGGGCGCGAGACGTTCGACATGATCTGCGAGGCGCTGGGCTCCGCGGTGGCCAAGGAGGACACCATGCTCCGCGCCGCCATCCCCGTGCGCCAGCGCGTCGCCGTCTGCATCTGGCGCCTCGCCACGGGCGAGCCGCTCCGCCTCGTCTCCAAGCGCTTCGGCCTCGGGATCTCCACCTGCCACAAGCTCGTCCTCGAGGTGTGCGCCGCCATCAAGTCCGTCCTCATGCCGCGCTTCCTCCAGTGGCCCGACGAGGCCGCCGCCGCCGCCTTCAAGGAGAGGTTCCAGGCGGCGTACGGCGTCCCGGGCGTGATCGGCGCCATGTACACCACCCACATCCCCATCATCGCGCCCAAGATCTCGGTCGCCGCCTACTTCAACCGCCGCCACACGGAGCGCAACCAGAAGACGTCCTACTCCATCACGCTCCAGGGGGTGGTCGGCCCCGACGGCGCCTTCACCGACGTGTGCATCGGCTGGCCGGGGTCCATGCCGGACGACCAGGTGCTGGAGAAGTCCATGCTGCACCAGCGCGCCGCGGCGGGGATGATGCACAGCGCCTGCCTTGTCGGCGGCGCCAGCTACCCGCTCATGGACTGGGTGCTCGTCCCCTACACGCACCAGAACCTGACGTGGACGCAGCACGCCTTCAACGAGAAGGTGGGCGACCTCCGCCGCGTCGCCGTCGACGCGTTCGCCCGCCTCAAGGCGCGGTGGGCGTGCCTCCAGAAGCGGACGGAGGTGAAGCTCCAGGACCTCCCCGTCGTGCTCGGCGCCTGCTGCGTCCTCCACAACATCTGCGAGACGCGCGGCGAGGAGCTCGAGCCGGAGCTCCGGTTCGAGCTCGTCGACGACGAGACCTCGCCGGAGACCCCCGTCCGCTCCGAGGCCGCCAAGCGCGCCAGGGACAACATCGCCCACAACCTCCTCCACCGCGGCTTCGCCGGAACCACCTTCTTCTGACCATCGATCGATCGATCACACCACCGCCGCTTCTTGGTACAAAATCCCCCGACAAAGTAGCGATTCTTTTAGCCCCGCTAGAATAGAAAGATTTTGCTAGTTCTTTTTTTTGGGTCAGCAGTGCAATGCGATGGAGTGTAAAACATAATTTGGGCAGCTGTTTGTTTTCAAATTCAAGATATATACAGTTCAATTTACAACTAGGATACAGATTCCCGGAGATGATTGAATTCAAATAACACTTGCAGCATCTCCATATTACTATTGTGATTTGTTATTGTCCTGCAGACCTGCAGTTTAGTTGTTTGCTCTGTCGTCGGCGTGAACTCTTCATTGTTTGATTGCCTCAAAGGCTGGTTGATTGTTTACCAGTACTCCTTGATTGCATCTTCGTTCGCTGGAAGTACAGGTTGTACAGAAGTTTTGCAGTTGATCGTACACCTATTTGCGAACGAATTTGGGCCGTCTCCACGGTACTCGTCGTGGCAAATGTGACAAAGGCTATGGTACGTGCAGCCTATCTTGTCTCAATCTTAGCCTAAACCTTATCCTAGCTTCTCCAACCATTCTGGCCAGTCATTCTTCATCATTGATCCGTAGTTGTAGTAGAGTACTCGTCTCCAAACTCGATTGTAGTTAGGCTTATCTGATGTGGTTTCTCTGTTGATCGCAATTCATCAATTCAGTCCACTGAACACAAAATCAGAGCCTCACATCCTTTTCGGCAGAATGGGCTGCGATGAACACCAGTACACCAACAGACAAACGATGTAATCTTGGACAGGAAACATGAAAATTTCAGGGTGCATGCACAATGGTACTACTACTTGTAGTACAATACAGTACTCAAATTAGATTTCACCGTACTACAGGATCTCAAGAGCTGAAGAATAGAGATAAGCTTTTGCCCCCAAATGTCCATTCTTGCGGCGCGTAAGGTGCGTTGCATTCGTCGGTGTGTTGCCTCGTGACAAATTTTGGGGAGGGAAAGAAAGCGTTGGGAGCAGATCGAGGGTCGGTGCAGGTTTGTCAGAGGCACAGACGACGCGACGAACCGGCCATCGCGTTTAGCTGGTCAAACGATCGGCAGAAAAAAAAAACGGCTGCCTCTCCATGTGAGGTGTGGCGCCGCCTTGGACCCCATGACATCTCGATCGATCACCCGTTTTCTTTCCACCGTCGCCGTTGGTTGGATGCTTGTGCCGTCCGTCCGCCATTTGTGCGTCTTCTTGTCAAAGCGCCAGGTTTCAAGGAGAAGATGGCTGGGCAGTTCATGTTATCCGCTGATAGCATGGCCGGACTCTTCTTCAATGCGCAGCTAACGTGCATTGGTTTGAAGCACACAAACAGTTTCCAGAAAGGAACAGGAGAGGACTAACAAACTGCAGCGTATCTCTTGGATTCGTTCCATGTATAGGAAGTTTTGATGCATGGATTGACACAAGGATATTCTGTGCTTCCGGACTAGACTAGTAGAGTGAACGGGAGGCCCAATTGAACCATTGGGAAGGCGGGGTGAAAACGGTCGGAATGGATATTATCTCTTCGGAAATGACGCTCGATCGACCGTTAATTGATCAAATTTATCATGTAAATTATTCGGTGTATATATTAATATGATGCAGAAAGAAATTAAAAAAAACAAAATTTAGAAATAACCAAGAATAGTACGGTCAGAAACGGTCGATCCGAAATTTCCGTGACCATTTTCACACTAACATGTCACATGTGCAGCTACAATTAGGGTGTGTTCAGCACTACCAGTTCCCAACTTTCCCCTCTCGTTTTCCGCGCGTACGTTTTTCAAACTACTAAACGGTGCATTTTTTGCAAAAATTTCTATATGAAAGTTACTTAAAAAAATCATATTGATCCATTTTTTTTAAAAAAACTAGCTAATACTTAATTAATCACGCGCTAATGGACTGCTCCGTTTTCCGCACGCACCGTTCCCCCGTTTGGGACCTCCAGCAGCGAACTCACCCTTAGACCCCTTTCCAAACCGGCAAAATTGCCAGATTCTAATTTGAGCTAAACTGTTTTTCCTGTTAAATTCATGCAGTCGAAAGTCGAAACAGGGCGTCCTCCTGTACTTGCTGGTAGAGGACTTCCCTTGGGCCATGGACAGCTGAACAGAGAGAACTGGCAAATCAAGATGTGTGTGCCTGCTTGCAGCCGGAGTACCACTTCCATTTGCCACATCGTCTACAGCAGGCAGCCAGCAGAATCTCCCTTTTTCAGGTGGGGTTGTGGCGGTTGATTGACTGATTTTGCGCTCGCTTTGGTTCTGGGATTTGAGGATCAAAAGCAGCCCAAAAGCAGCTTCTGCCGCAAAGCGATTCCTGGCCGATGCTTCCAGGAAAAGGGCTCCATTCAACTGTGCCATCAGATTCCTGGCCCGCCTAAATTGGATACGGAGTTGTACTACCATTCTATATTCATTTTCGAAGAAACTGGCATGCTTGTTTTGTGCCCGGCACATCTGGGTACTGTTTGCACGTGATGGAGCTCCTGTAATATTAGGCCATGTACAACATGGTGTCTTAGACATATGGTCTCAAGTACCAGCGAGATTCACGCTAGAGGTTTGGAGTGGTCTCACAGGGTGGCAGAGGAGCCTGCAGAGGTAATTATGGTTTTATGGTGGCTTTAGAAGAGAGAAGAGGGGTTTCTGTGGTTCAGGAGAGAAGCAAGACGTGCCTACACCGAGGTCGTCGCTGCTACCGCTGCATGCATAACCCACCGCAACCACAACCCGTTGTTGCCACCGAGGTCGTCGTTGCACTCCGTCGCAGCCACTGCACCCCGTCACCACCATCGTGATCGTTGTCTGGTCCCCACATATCAGGGATGTGTGCCTCTGATATAAGGGCATACGAGGATGTTTTTCACCTGTCAGGAACTCGTGTTTCAATTGATTCAGTTTGTGTGGCCCCTTAACTCTACTTTGTCTTTTCTTTTACTAACTATATCTTAAAATAACTTTGTGTTTGCACTCATCCTATACATACAAATAAAAGAAAGAGCAATATACTCTTCACTCTATCAAATCCCAATCCAATTTTCTCCACTCTATCTAGCTCCAATATACTCTTTACCTACTTTTACAAACTCCAATAAAAGATTGCTTGAAACATATAGTTATTTTATAAACTCCAATAAAAAGATTGCTTGAAGCATATAGTTATTTTATGACAAATAAGATGGTGAAAGATAAAGTTATTTTAAGATGAAACAAGTAATAATCTAAATATTTTTATGCAAATACAATAACAATATTGTCTAGTTAGAGTTGCAATGGAATTTTCGAACATAACATTCTTGTCAACCCTTTTATCACTACTTTCTATATATATCATATTCATTTTCTTTTAATTTCTGTACTCCCTCCACTCAATAATAATTGATGTTGGAAAATCTTAGTACAAATGTCAAATACTGTTAATTGGAGTGAGTACCGTTTATGATAGATAGGCCTTATGACATGGATTCAGAAGATCCTCTTAACTTAAGTTACCTGACTTTGAGTCATTGACATATGAGTTCTCTTTAATATGACTCATATGTGAGTCAATCTAAAGTTATCTTACTTATGTTGGAGGATCTCGATCCTCTTAACACACTCTTCTTTTTTCTTAAAAAAAAAGGAACTTGTGAATCACATGATAGCTTCTTTTTAAGTAGTATATATAAAACTAATTGATCTCACGAGTTATGTACATGGTGGATGTGGGACTAGTGCTAAAACGGCCATACTTTATTTTCAGTATATGTCATAATAATAATAATAATAAAACTAGTCCTTCTTATGCCATTTCAAAAGTAAACTTTAATTTCACACTGTTGGTAGTGGAATGGCAGCAATATTTTATAGATATTATCGATCCACCAGTTTGCAAACAAAATTATTCTATTTTATGAGACATGTTTTCAAAATTAACACGTTGCTGGTAGTGGAGTAGCTTTCTTACGAAGATACTCCCTTCATGTACTTTTGATAGTCATATTTTCAAATCTGAAAATTTTATTTTTGATAAGCATATTTCAATCCAACAACCTATCATCTTAATGACTTTCTCGGATTTAATGCGTGACTCTCCATTCTTCCACATAAGATTGGCTATTTAGGCATCGAGAAATGTAAATATCAATGAATCGCTTGTTTACGAGGAATGACTAGTAGTATGTTTAAATAGATGATAAGGTTGTGTTCGAATCCACCTTTTCCCATTACATCTCTCTCGTTTTCCGCGCGCACGCTTTTCAAACTGTTAAACGGTGCATTTTTTACAAAAAGTTTCTATACGAAAGTTGCTTAAAAATCAAATTAATCCATTTTTGAAAAAAATTTAGCAAATACTTAATTAATCACGCGCTAATGGATTGCTCCGTTTTCCGTGCGGAGGAGATTAGTTCCCAACCGGTTCTACCGAACTCAGCCTAAGTAGAATTATTTATCTTTAGTTTGTGTGTCAAGATGAAATATAACTATCAGTACTACTGAACCCAAACTCTGAACATATCATGAAAAACGTTTTTTTTTAACATTATGAAAAACGTTTTGTGCCCAATTTTCCCTAAACAGTACTAGTAGCACTTAGCGAACCGTCACTAGGTGAGCCACGTTCTGGGCCACCTAGATCAATGATAAAACTTTTGTGGGCCGAATTAGTCGTGGCCAATCCAAGTCCTATCCATGGGCTGGGCCCGTCCCGGTGTTACCGTATATGCCCCTGAACCCATCTTGTACGTGTTAGGATCATTCATAGGTTGGTACACACACAGGACGGGTCTCACGTGCCAGTGATGCCACCTGTTTACTACTCCTACTAATCTCAAAGCACCATCTTCACTGTCCTAGATTCCTAGGACTGCGACCTTAGGTCATGTACAACGCATGACCCTGGCTTGTGGTCTCAAACCTCCACGTCGGATACGTGCACCCGTGGTAGTGGCGACCGTGGCTCCGCAGGCCGATTCCGCGCTTGCAGAAGAACCGCCCAAAGCGCCACGCCTGGGCTCGGGAAGGGCGAAGCCACGGTCCAAGGCCACGCGTTGGCGGAGCCGAAGCCCCGTGAGTTGCCTCGTCCGGTCACCAGATCCACCGCCACCGCTACTCCCCGCCGCCGACACTTGCGAAGAAGGGAGGAGGAGAGGAACCGCCGTCGTTGTGGCTCTCGCCATCAGATCCGGCGAGCCCGCGCCGTCAAGAACTCCTCCTCCCCGCCGCCGGTGACCTCACCGTCGCGACATGGGGATGGGAGGGCATCCGCCGCCGCCGGTGGTCCGTCGCCCGCGCGAGAAGAGGAGG